GAGGGGGGGATGGAATTACTGATAGAGAGGCTTTTCCACAAGAATCAAAATAAATGTAACATCTGTGATAATTAGATACAACACATTTTTTAAAGGGGCTCATAATGTTTATGTATCTCAACTTTACAGATTTGCAAGTTTAGAGTTCGATATTTGAATGAACTGTCTGCTGACTGCTTCTTTGACCTCCTGATTCTTCAAGGTATATATCACTGGGTTCAGCATTGGAATCGCCATACCGTACAGGACTGAGATCAGCCGATCCTTACTTAAAGAATATGAAGAAATTGGTCTCAGGTAATTGAAGATGGCGCTTCCGTAATACAGGATGACAACAATAAGATGGGAAGCACACGTAGAAAAAGCTTTTTGTCTCCCTTCTTCAGATCTGATCTTCATTATTGTGACAATTATGTATATGTATGAGAGGATAATGCTCACAAATGGGGCCCACCCAATAAAAACCCCGATGGAGAGCAACAGGGCCTCATTTACGGATGTATCATCGCAGGAAAGGGAAAGGAGTGGTGGGATGTCACAAAAAAAATAACTGATCTGTCTGGTTCCACAAAAATGAAGGCGAAAGGTGAACACGGTATGAACTGTGGAGTTCACAAAACCACAAAACCAGGACACAAAGGCCAAGCTGGCACAAACGTTTTGGCTCATCATGACCGTATATCGGAGAGGGCGACATATAGCTAAAAATCTATCGTAAGACATTATCAAAAGAAGGACATGCTCAGTCCCTACACATGCCACAAAGAGGTACAACTGAGTCGCACAGCCGACAAATGTGATTGACTTGGTCTCGGCTAGAAGAACCTGTAACATTTTGGGCATTGTGGTTGACATATAAAAGATATCCAGGAAAGCTAAATTGCTCAAAAAGAAGTACATTGGCTTGTGAAGGTGTTTATCCAGCTGTGACACTAAAATAATGACCGCGTTACCTGTTAGTGTTACAAGGTAGAGGAGAAGGAGAATGCAAAAAAGAAACACTTTGAGCTCCGGGAGGTCAGACAAGGCCAGTAACAGGAAGTCCGTGGAGATCGTCAGGTTGACACTCATGGTATCTTGTAGCCCAGCACAGGTAGTTGTTGATCTGAAGTAAAATTTGCATTAATAATAAATACTTAAAAAAAAACATGTTACAGTCTCTACTGTTATTTTCTTTGTGTTTTTTTATATACATTGTAAAATATAAAATTCATGTTTTATAGTGACCCAGTTTTTCTTTTTTTTTGCAAATAGATTTTTATTGAGTTTTGTACATGGGCAAACAATACAGGGAAAAAGGGAAAGAAAAAAAAAAGAGAAATCCAAGGTACATCCAGAAGAAGGTAGCAGAAAACAAAAGATGTGTATAGTGAAAATAGTGTGAGCTAACTACCAATGTCTACACTCCGCAATTGGGAACCCACACGGGTTGGCACCTTTCATGTCGAGTAGCATATAGCAAATTAGCCACAGTATTAAACAATTTTCTTTCTGCAACCAAACAGTGTGATGGTACTAATGCACACAGTACATAGACAAAAATCCTTACGTCTGAGGCATAGACATTACCTATATTGTAGGTATGAAGTCACAGTGGCCGTAGAATACCAGGTGGTCCAAGGCTCCCAGGATTTGGCAAATTGGTTTACCTCCCTTCCAGCAAACTTATAGCATTATTATTATTATAATTATTATTATTATTCAGGATTTATATAGTGCCAACAATTTGTGCAGAGCTTTACAAAATGTAGGAGGCAATACAGTTAGAACACAATTTACAATACAGTTTCAGTACAATAGGGTTAGGAGGGCCCTGCTCGTGAGAGCTTACAATATCATATTTATATGCACCAGAGTACTCCGCAATGGGATTGACTTACAAAAGAGAGAATGTTCAATTAGAAATGTGAATATTTACTTGGTTTAGTGAGGAAGGTGAATTTTTGTTCATTTTGAAAGCCTAATCATGTGTGCAGTAAATACTATTAAAATAATATTAAAATAATAAAATAAATGAATACATAAAATTAATTAATAAATAAATACATAAAATAAAAATAAATAAATAAAAAACAGGACTTTTGCTTACTGGTGATTCTATGATTGAAGTGAACACAGATTGACCTTACTCTCTATTCAATGTAAACATACATTTTTGACACTTAAAGTAGTCACTGCTTTCACAACATTTTGCTGCGATGTTCTACAATGAATTTCCACTAAATCAAAATGTTTATTTACACTTGGCTTAAATTGATGGAAAGGTTGGTTGTATGTTACCCATGACTTAAATATGTTGTTATGTCATGATGAGTTTGTAGGAAGCGGACAGCCAAATAGCAGCAGGCAGAGATACAACGGGAGGAATCAGCTTTTAATAGGAGATGACTGATCATCATCTCCGTGCTGTGGGACGTATGACACAATTAGTCAGTAATTATTATTGCATTCAATGAACCCCGGGGCATTGTGTCACAAAATATTTGTTTTGAAACTGTTCTACATCAGGGATTCTATCACTGGGGAAATTATTTGCGTTTTAAAGAGTATTTATTTGTACACATAACAAGATAAATTGGGCCGTGTGTGCAGTTTATATTTTAATTAGGTCTGGTAGAGAGCCGTCTGCTACATTAATGAGAATAAATAGACCCATTAATAATACACATAAAAGTAGCATTGCCCTGGGAAATGTTATTGTAAACATGTTCTATACTACACTGTATATATTGTAACATTTTTTTTCCTTTAACCTGTAATATTTTTGGCAGGGACAAAATTGTTGTTAAATAGGTATCATGGGTCTCATGTGCTACATACAGATGGTGAAAAGAAAATAATAGCACAGGGTGATCAGGGTGACTGATGGGTCTAAGGTTACAACAGTAACAGTAATACTGTGAAGAGACATTTTCCAAACATAAGAAGGAAATATAATTTTTTTCCCCTGATAACATTTACAATTATCACACCTGCTGTATACAGTTCCATCTTGAGGATTCATCGCATGAAACATTAGCTGTTTTTTTAAATGCCTGCCTGCAATAACAGTAAATGATGGTGGTGTCATTATTTATATAAGGTCGTAACAAGATTTATTAAAGATGTGGAAGCTGATGACATGAATACAATCCTATTATAACCCCTGAAGTCACAAAACCTTGATTTATATAACAGTTCATGGGCTGAGATAAGCTATGCAAATAAAAGGCTAATTGTTTTTTATGTGCAATGCCAACCCAAAAAGTGTTAGTCATGATATCAGCTTTGTTGTCAATCACGCACAAAAAATGAGTTTCCATGTGATAGAAGAGCTGCTATACTTTCCTCTCTGGCTGGGCCAAAGCTAGGAGGGGCTGGGGGGCATGTGCCCCGGGTACCGCTTTAGGAGGGGTGCCACTGGGTGTGTGGATGGAGAACTTGTCCCTTGGGCTAAGCAACTCTGAGCCTTTGCCCCCGGTGACAGAATGTCTAGCTTCCCCACTTCTCTCTAGTGGCGTGTTCCTCTTATCATCACTCTATTACAGTGTTGCTGCCTCTGCTAGACTCTTCTGCGTCTGACTTCTTGGGGAGTGCAGCATGCCTGTGTCCCCCGCCACTCATGGTGGTTGCCTTCTCTGACCCCTTTGCCACGGATGTGTCTTGTATTGACATAGGGGTCAGAGGAATGAACCGCAGCATGCAGTGAGAGACGGAGGCATCAAACACTCCCAAAAAGAGTCAGATGCAGAAAATCCTGATACAGACTGCAGTGCTGGTTTGGACCAATGGTAGAAGACACTGGAAACAGGGCAGGTGTGAATGGGAAAGCTCCATATAGATTTCTTCAGGCGTTATTGAAATTTCATGTGGTTTGAGAGGTAAAAAGAACAATTGTTGGCGGTATGCAAAAAGGTTTATATAGAATACTTTACAACTAGCTTCAGCAATATACAGTATTACTGATATGTAGCTAAGATTTTACATCACCTTAGCCAATTGAGCTCCAGGTATGGGCCTAATAATTCAGTAATAGCTTTTGAATTACTTCTGATAAAGAGGTAAAGCATATATTGTGTTTTGGAAGGTTTTCTATCAATTAAATGTCCTCAAAAAAGTATTTGATTTTTTGTGTATTAAAAAGAGCAAAAAAAATAAAAAAAATTCTGGGAGCTGCAACTACATTATCTACAAAGTATCAGTGTTTGTTAACATGTTCACCAACTGAACACAACTAGTTATACCAAGCAGCTAATGCTAACTGCTTACAAATAAGTCGCACTCCTATGGATCTTCATACATTGAAGCAACTGTTTATTGATATAACAAACACAACAAAAACAAGATTCCACGGATCCGGTTTAATCATAGGAGGCCTCTATGATTAAACCAGATCAGTGAAACGCGTGAGATGTTGTATTAATTATATATATTAATTATATGTTATATTAATAAAAAGTTGCTTTAATTCATGAAGATCCATGGGAGTGCGACTTGTTTGAAAGGAGAATTCATACGTTGGAAGCAGAGGCGTGCCTGTTTTGCCTGCACCCGTGTTATGTTTAACGTGGCCTGGGAATTGGAGCATTGGACTGTTTGCACTGCAGGAGCTAATACTAGCTAATACACAGACCATGATCTCATCTGACAAACGGACAGCAGGTCTGGGTAGATACATGCAAGTGTGGTTTCAGGAAAATAAGACTCTAGGATGTACAAAATATGTCCTTAATCCTAAATTGGACAGGTGTATTCTTGTTGTGAGACAAAGCAAGCTGCGACTAACACTATGGGCTATTCAATTCTATCATTTAACACATTTTTTTTATCTATCAACCTGCAAAAAATGTTTTCAATATGTTGAGGGCCAATCATCTCTGGTGGTGTCACCCTACCAGCTGCGAGGAGAGGTCCAGCCTTCTGAAATGGCCAAAAGTTAAGTAGGCCCGCCGGTTCTGATGCCTAATGCCTAAAAATGCTCACATTATTTGTAGCATATTTGTGCAACATCTTCTGACTCTTGTCTCTGACATAATACATTGTCATTTTGGTTTCACGATAAAAACCGCCTTGCCTCTTCTGTTTACATTGTGACCAAATAAAACCTGCTTGCTTAATGTGCAGTGAGTCTGTACAATATTTCTGGCTTCTGTCTCTGAAATAATACACTATAACTGAATAGAGAAGCTGATTGGCTACTATGAGCAATTACTCCAGTTTTTGGCTCCTCCAGTTTTAATACATTTCCCATTATGTTTTTAAGACCTGAAGAAGAGGGAGGTCTTGGGCCCCCAAAATGTGGTGGCTGTTCTGTGATTTTTTGGGTTTTTTTTGGACTCTCTTGTTTGGTGCTTTCATTACAAATTATGCGCGTGAATCTTCAATTCTGGGTCCCTTTTTCTGAGGAACACCATGTTTTTTGTTGACAACAGCCTCTCCGGAACCATTGTGCTTTATCCCATTCTGACTGATCTTGTAATATTTGAATCCAGCTCCTCACCTCGACTTGGTCCCGCAGAATATAAACTAACAGTGGGTTTTAACCAGTTTATATTCTATACTAAATAAAAATGATTATACATAAACTTTAATCAGACAAGCCCTATGTATATGTATATTAGTAATGAGTGGTAAATGATTTACATTTTATTTGGAAGTAGAAACATAATAATTCAGGAAGTCACTCTTCATATGTCTTTTGAAACACAATTTATTTATTTTCATGTGCAAAAATACACATACACATGTCTTATACATATAGGTCTCTGTGAACCCCAACTCTAGCAGTAGTTTAAGCCATTCTATTGTAGTTGTCTCCTCCCCTCGGTTCCTCATAGCTTCACAGACAAGGAGAGCCTTTGGAAGTTGAACATCTGGCAGCTTTTAGTGCTGTCAGTCTGTAATACTTCCCTCACACACTGACAGCGGTCATCAGGGTAGCAGAGCTCTCTAATGGAAGCACAGGCAGCAATACCCTTTTTTCAGTAGAGTGGAGATGAGGTAGAATGCTCCTCAAGTTTGTATTGCTCTGTGCATTCCTGGTAGGGAGGATCTCCTCATGTCCAGTCCTAGTGACATTGGTCATTGTGAAA